GATCCACATCCAAGACTAGATTTTTATGACTCCTCAACACATTATACACTAGAAAAGGTCAGATCTAAGCTTATGGAGACTCTTTGCACATAAAGTCTCCAACTTTGAACCAAAAACCCTAAAAATGGTCCAACAAGCAAAAGTTATGAAGAACAAGGAAAGCTTTGAGCTTTTTACCTCAGAAAGGATCTCCAACCACTATAGAACTCGGATCTACACTTGTTCTTCAACTTCTAGCTCCAATAATGGCTCCTTCTTCTCCTTCTTCACCTTGAAAAGATAACTTCAAGCTCAAAAACACACACACACACAAGCTAAAGCACGAATCTCAGCTCTCCAAGGACTCACTCAAGGGGATATGGTGGCTAGGGAAAAGGACTACATGTTCCTTTTATAGTGCAAACCCGGGAATTAGGGTTTTGCATCTGGGCCGGTTACGCCCAGCGTAACTTTGCTGGGGGTACCCGGATGAACCCGTGTACAAATTAAGCGTGTGAGTACGCGCGACGTACACTTCAGTACGCCGAGCGTACTCACTAATCCGTCTAACAACTTTGAGGGACTAATATGCCAACTCTCCAAAATAAAAGGGTCATAAAGCTAACCTGGATTTCGGGCTGTTACACAAGTGATATTATCTTATGTTAAAATGTTGTTTGACATGTAAAACTCATTTTCATACACATAACATACAATAACGTAAAAATAAACATCACATGCATGCATTATAATATGTATAAACCAAGTCATGTCTAGTAATGATTTTTGTGAGTCATCACAAAAATTATTTTGTCTTTCCTAAAGGACTTGAGAAACAATTCAAAAAGTCTTTAAGCTCCCACATGCCAAGTCAACTTTTGTTTGCAAAAGAACTACAAATTTTCATGTTGTTAAAGTTGTAACACTTAAACCATTAAGATTGTAATTAAGCTTATGGTTGGGATTATGGTCTTAAATGGTTAAGTCATCTTCAAGGAGGTCATTTCTTCATCTTGTTACATTTAAAAAGAAATACAACTAGTCTAACTAATTTATTACAACAAATCAACAAATGAAAATTTAGTTATTTATCTAGTACATCTTATGAATAAATAAATATCAACCAAACATCACACAAAAGTCCAAACGGCTTGTTTATACACAACAGCATATCAAATATTATAACAAACAACTATTTGTTTTCTCTAAGGCAACTTTTATATAACCAAAATGCATGAAAAATGGTTATATATAAAAATAAACAGTTTTAACCAAAAAGTTGCCAAAGAAGACAAATATGTATTTTTCTTACACAAAAAAAATTCATCATTATGAACCAAAGATTATCAAAAATAAAAAAAACCATTCTAACATATAAAAGATGGCTCTAACACCAATGATGAGTTTTGATACAAAATATAAGTTAGTTTTTCATAAAAACCGGTAACGGAAGTCTTTAAAAATAACAAGTTTTTTTTTTAGTTTTTAACAAAACCAAACCATCGTAGATCCATTTATAGATGTTAGAATGAAATAAAAAACAACCAAAGACTTTTTAGAATGACATCCTTTGAAGCCTTTTAACCCACTTGGTTTTGGGGTGTTTATGAAGATAGCAAAAATCAAATAATATGATTTCTCTATGTATATCCATCATCAAGAATAAAGCAGTTGGAATGCTTGTTTCTTCTTGTATAAAGAACTTCTTAAGCCTTTAAGTGCTTAAATAAAATAAACACTAAATGAGAGACATTTTAAGCTACCAAAACTCGAATAATCTTCAAAAGAAAACAAGAGAAGATGCAAGATGCATCTTACGGTTTTGGTGAAGAAATAAGAGGAAGAAAGAGAGTGTTTTTCCTAGAAAAAATGGAAGCCTTATGCATCGCTTATATAGTCCATACAAAGTAAGACATAACCATTAAAATTCTCTAAAGTAATGTCTAGCATAAGGAGCAGGGGAGACAAGGCATGAAGGTTGACAAGCAACCCCCACATTTTCATATTTTTGGCCATACCTGTTGAAAAAATGAGGATTCTTTAAATTTTATAAACTCTAAGTTTATAAAATATAAAGTTTGTCTTTAGCTAAAAGACAAAAGAATCCAACTAGTTTAAAATATTGTGCATGACTTATTAATTCACACCATATGAAATAATAACTAGTTTTACTCTCTTATAATTATTATCTTCACAAAACAATAATTATTCATTAATTAAATACAAGCATTGATATTATTTATTAATAATCATATTAATAATAAATATACAAAAAATATGTTAACTTGATAAATGTGTGACCTATAGGTTCATATTTTATTAGTATCACTCAATAATGATTTTTGAATATATAAATTCAACAAAAACTCAAGCATTGCTTGTTGAGATAACTCTGGTACCAACATAGAACTTTGGAACTTAATTTGTTTATGAAATTAGTGTTATATATGGCTGCTACTCGGTTGATTAAATTGATTTTCGATGTAATTGGTTTGGTTTACTTAGTTTTTCTAATATTTAAAATGACTATAAAAAAAATTTTAAAAAAATTCAAATTTGGTTTTGATTGTTCTGGTATCCGGATCAATTTATCGGATAAGCCAAATAAATTTTACTTGAAGAAATCAAACTAAAAAAAACATATTGGTTTTTTAGCAAATAAAAAATAACACTAACACATAGAATATTGTGTTCCTATCATAAGTTTTTGTCAATATAGTCATATGGTTCCTTATTTTAAGCCAATTTGAAGTTTTAATCTTACACCACTTCCATTTACTTTCAACGATCAATATTTATATCATATATATATATGTGTGGGTAACATGAAATTTTGATCTTGAGATAATCCGTCAAATACAATTTCAATTTTGGCACAAAGAAAGTTGTATTACTATATATCATATGCAATGTTCACAATCATAAGAAAGACCCGAATATGACAAGAATATGAGTACAAATACTCATATATTCTTACAAGAACGCAATATATGACAAAAATATGAGTACACATACTCATACATTCGAAATGTGGATACAATTGAAGAAAATGTGGAGTCTATACTTAAATTTTGGTTTACAGAGATAACCGACAGGCAACTCGAGCCACCCGACACAACTATGCAGTCCTTATTTTCGTAAATTGTATCTACCTTTCGGGTATATGAGTACATATACTCATATTTTTTCATATTAGGGTCTCTCATACGGTTGTGAGCATTGCATATACTTTCCCTTGATATTGCTTTCTTTGTAAATTTCACAACAAATCATTAGATTTTAGGTTTGCCATGTTTATATATATTTTGTGTGGTTAACATTTTGATAATATAATCTTGAGTTAATTCATCAAATGCACAATTAAATTTAGCTAGTCATTGATTTTATATAAGAAAATATTCTCAAATGGTAAACCTATATCATAGATTAAAAATATTGTCATCTCACTATTTTATTTTTATTGATCTCTAATTAAAGTGTTTCTCCAATGATTAAACTCTTTTATATTATTTTTTAATTTAACTATTTTATCATTATCTATTTAAAATGTTATATAAACCTTATGGTTTAATTAAATGAATTTTAAACACATTGTATTTTAATATAAACATTCATTTATGTGCAAACGCATTTACATATTTCTATAATTTATATATTATATATTATTTATTTGTTTATCTATAAATTTTAGATATTTAATAAATATTTAAAAGTAAATCAAAGGGGTAAAATGAAATATTATTAAAAAAAAAATTGGTTAATTGTTCAAAATAATAAACTATATTGACCACTTATTATATATTGACTCATAAATAAAAATAACAAAAATATCATACTCCAATAATTTTTAATTATTTTGACCGCTTAACCAGATAATAATAACCTATTAAAAAACCCATTAGAAATGCTCTAACAATAACTTGAGAGATTTTTTGTAACATATCATCATATACTTTTTGTATTAACCGTTTAATATCATTAGAATACCTAAAGAACCTACATAGTTGCTTTTTTACCGCTCAATGTATATATTAGGCGGTTATAGTTTTATAATTTGTATATAATCATTCTAGTTTGATCATATTTTATTTTATCCATTTAATTATAATTTAGTTTTAAGATTTTTCATTTTTTACTAGTTAATTATTTTATTAAATCTTTAATGAGATCCCATTTATAAAATATAAATTATATAACGTTGATATTGTTGAGAATAAATATCTAATGGTTGAATAGATTCAACCAGGTAAACAGATTATGAACATAGAATGAATATCAAATATGTCGAATGATTTATTATCACAACCTTAGAAGAGCTCGATTAAAAACTGTTACTGGAAATACGTGTAGGGTTTACAAAGATGATTAGACGATTATATAAAACAGTGCATGCATGGCACCATAAATAGCTAAACCCTAATAATAAATAACTGGTGGACAGACCCAACCCGGATACAAAATAGACTCAGCTAAAAGCCCACAATGAAGCAACACTAAATACCCAACAATCTCCCCCATTGTGTTAAATGAGGCATGAGACCTTCACTGTGGAGTCCGCTTCTGCATTTCAAATAGTTTTGGGATTACACTGAGCAGAGCTTTGTGAACTTGGATGTACCACAGGATCATATCCGAAAAGCACTTCTTGGCTGCTTTGTCGTTCCCTCTGTATTTGCCTATGAAATCCAAAATATACTCTAGGCATGATGTGGTGTAAAGATGTTTATCTGTGAGAAAGAAACAAACTTTGTGAAAGTTTGCATCTGTTCTCTATTTCTTCTTAAAAGCCACATATCAACCATCCTTTCGTATCTTCCCTGGCTTCGTTTTATCAAAACCTTCAGGAGCTTCCTTGGGGAGCACAGGTGGCTTCTTCCATAGTACAACAACAATTTCAACATCCATTTTGTCAACCTCTTGAATGTATGAGATTAACATTTGTTTAAGGTGAGCGACAATAGGTTCGTACTTCTGTTCGTCCTTCTACAAGAAGTTGAGCAACATAATCCAGTCGTACGGGTTCAGACAGGGAATATCGGCAAGTGTGAATTCGCACACCTGACTCGTAGCACCTCTAGCAACCTTAAAACGAGCGTTCGGGAAGCTATCAGTTTCGAATGGACCAGTAACCTTAAAAACATAACCTTAAAACGAGCGTTCGGGAAGCTATCAGTTTCGAATGGACCAGTAACCTTAACAACATTTATCTTCTTTACTGTGGCTTCATATGCTTTAGGTAGAATGAGAAAAGCAAGTGGTCTGCACCACTATCTATTAGAGGGACATTCACAACTTTAACAAAGCTACGAAACCTAAAGGCTTTTTGAGTGATTGGAAGATCCAGTTGCGAATCTTGTGTGTTTTGCAAATCAAAGGACACAACTAGCTCTAACTAATATTGGCTTGGAATTTCCACAGCCTCGCTCATCGCTCCAAAGTCCACACTGGAAACAAAAGCTTTCGGGTTTCCTATGTGACTTGAGCTTCGCGTTCAACCCTTTCTTTTTCCTCTGCCTCTCTCACAATCCTATTGTGTTCTTTCATTTGAGCTTCACGAGCCTTCCTTCTTTTAAGCTTGTGCTCACTGGGCTCTTCATCTTCGATGCCATCAATAATTGGTTCTTCAATGAGATTTTCCTTTCGTTTCGAATTCAAAGCTACATTAACCTTCGGTTCGTTATCTTTCTTTGGCTTGACTGTTGACTTGGGGTTATCCTTCTTAGATTGCTTCAAATTTTCTCCATTTTGTTTCAGAATGGAGCTCGACTCCGAAACACCTTCCAACCAGTTGAGCATAGCGATAACTAGGTGAAGATGTTTAGCCAAATGTTTTTTGACAGTAGTCGTGATCATAGAGTTACGAGTCTCGATTATGTCACATAGCAAGGTGTTCACGTCTGCCACCCAACTCTTTACAACAGCCCTTTTGGACAAGAGTTCATTGATCTGCTTCTCATCATTCTCAAGCTTGATAGTTAACACTTTTACTTTTTCTGTCTTCACTACGAGAGCATCTATTATCTTGATTTCTATAGACAAGTCATCTTGCAGCTTTTGAATTTTTGATGAAATGGAGGTGTTGAACTCAGAGGTGTCAACTTGGAGGCCAGTGCGAACTTCTTCGAGCTTTGCCTTCTCTGTGCAAAGAGTGGACCTAAGACTGGAAATTACTTCGTTTGCCTTCGTAGTGTTTGACTCAAACGAGTTAATTAGTTTATTGACTTTTTCGGTCGTTTCTTTGCAAATTGAAGATGAAGCATCCACAACTTTATTCGTCTTCTCAAGATTGGTTGAGTGTTATTTGGTGAGAGTCTGAAGGAAATACTTGATTGTGGCCTGGGAATAATCATCATCGGTTAAGGATTTGGAGGATTATAGTAGCGAATCTAGTTTCTCGTTAATTGCCTTGAGTTGCTCTTTTGTGACTGGAGCATCAACATCACTCTTAGTCCTAATGTTGATGGGACTATAAGTGAAGCCTCCAAAGTCATCTTCTTCATCACAAAAAATTGTATGTAGGTCGTTCTGGCGAAGAGGTGTGATTGGTGGTCTAGAATGACCAACTGTGAAACCTGAAGCACCTGCCCTCGCATCAGATGCATTGACAGAAACTGGAGATTCACTAGTGGTTGTGGTTGTAGTGGCTGTTGAATCTGTGAAAACTGGGTTTTGGGTCTGCGAAACACACATGGAAATAGGTGGTCATGGAGCAATGGTTATCAGAGTAGAGACAGTAGAGGTGGGTGAATGAATAGAAAAATCATAGAATAAATAGTCTGTTATAGGAACAGAGGTAGGAATCTCAAAAGTTACCTTTGGATTCGTAGTTGCAGGCTCCGAAACCTTTGGTTGAGATGTAGGATCAACATCATTTTCATTGTGAACCCCTTCCTGAACAGGAAGCTCCGAAACCGTGTGTGACTGCGAGTCTTCTTGGTCACTCAGTGTTGGAGTTCATGGCCTGCGAGTTGCTTTCTTGACCTTCTTCTTTTTAGGAGCTGCAGGAGGTTTAGATGGAATTGCTTTCACACCTTTTTCTTTCCTCGTTTCTTAGGTTTGTCGTCCTTGTCAAGGATCTTTTGGAATTCATCAGTCATTGGGTGAAAACTTGAGACCGGTAGGCTGCAATAGGCTCGTAGCACTTCGCTTGCAGCTGGAATATCGTGAAGCATAGATTATGGGCTGGAATCGATGAAGGAAAATTTTGAAGTATCTGCAAGAATGATGTTTTTGGTGTGGAGTATCTGAATTGCATCCATACAGGAGTCTTCAAGAACACGGATGTTAAGCTTTTTCAATCGCCTGTTGAACCAACATGGTCCAGAAACGAGCACAGGAAATTTCACCATGTCGTGTTGTGGAGAGGGTACTTTCGACCAATTGAGCTCAAAGCACTAATCCATAATCATGATTGATGCAAGAATAGATACTGTACATCATCATCATAAATAGTTTGCTGGCACAGTTGGAGCCAGTGACCCTCTCTGAGAAACACTTGAAGAGAAGGGTAAACATTCCGTTCAACATCGGCGATAGGTTTGGCTTTTTTGAACTTTGAGATGGTGGCCAAAGTTTCCTTGTATCCCATCTGATAAAACATCTCCAGAATGGCTAAGTTGGAGACGGTCTTAGGGTCAACCAAGTCATGACCCTAAGGAAGCCCTAGAAAGCTACAGAAACGGGATTTGGTGATGTGGGTCTTCTTGTTGATATTTTGAAGGAAATAACTCCTTTCCCTTTTGAAAACTTGCAGTCAAGTATGCCTTGGATAGATGAACCAAGGGTATGATTTCAAATTTGATGAGAGAGATAACTAGTGGGGAATATCGGAGACACTCGATAAGTGGTTGAAGAAATCTATCATATTTGGACGAATCAAGGTCGAGAATCAGGTTCCGATTTGCCTTGAGGTTAAGGATCGAAGATTGGGCCATCTGTTCTGCAACTGAGGGGGTCTCTGATGAAGCTGCCATGAAAGCTTGAAGAAGATGATGATGAATAGTAGAGGGTATAACTGCCGAGAGGATTTTGATTGCCTTTTGAATGTGGTAAGTAATTATTGAATCGACAAAATCCTTATATATTGTATAGTGAGTGAGAGAAAACCGGCGGTTGGTTGCTTCGATTATTGAAAAGTTGCCTAAAATGCGTGAAAGACAGTTGTAACGTGTGTCAGGTGGCGCCAAATCAGCGTCCGTTCAAATTCATGCGCCCAAATCTTATCCTTTAAGATGTCGTTTTAGTTACTCCTTTTCGCAGATGATTCAGTTATAAACTTTCACAATTAATAGCCATCAATAATCTTGCGAAACTGAAAGTAGTCATGAGTACCACGAACCAGACTTTGGACAATCACAAGGATGTTCGTGCGAGAGTGTGACAACGATAAAGAAATAAATCAACATTATACTAAGAGATTCTAGTGGTGTATGTTAAGACATGAAGTAAATGGTTCCCATGCATTGATCTCTTCCTACGCAATCAAGAGAGACTTTGAAGTGTCTGTGTGGTTTCCCATTGAATTATGATCATCTGTTTGTTGAGGAATTATGAAAGACTTCTTTTCATTAAGCTTAAAGGGTGGCTTTATCTTCAACCAAACTACGAAACTTGTCATAAGTCCGAACTTTCGAATGAAGTACTTGTCTGACCAGTGTAGCCATAAGAACAAATATGCTTTGGAATTATTTTAAGTGACTAGGATAAGTATAGAAATCACAAGAAAAATTAAAAAATGGATCTATTGGGAAGAAACATCTTACGACTAGAACATCTCATTAAGATCACATAAAAAGAAAAAGGGATTTCAAGGTACTGAGCACGATGGTGGACATTCGTTAATTCCATTGTGAATAAGCTAGAACAGTTAAATCGTTCACCATCAATTCGTAAATGTGTGTTGGATTTTGGATTTCACTCAATTCGTGGTAATGATGAATTTAAGATCATAAACACAGAATTTGTTGTAACCATAAACCATAGTGGTAATATCTGAGAGTCTCAAGGGTTACATTTATGAATAAGAAAAGTGATGAGAAATGGTAAGTGGTGGTTCCAAAAAAATAGTGTACCTCTGCTATGCGAAAGTGACCAAGCAGTTAACTCTTAAATCAAAGTGAGAAGAGTAATGTAGCTCATGACTTATGTGAATAAACAGCCTGATTGGGCAGAAACGATTGGTGTTATCGAATCATGAAGGCTTCAACATAGAGTCTTTGAGACTTCAGACTACATGCAGCAGCATGCTTCTATGGACACTTAGCTAGTGCATAGATTAGAAAATTTATATCTACCCCATCATTCGTAATTGAGATCACCAAGATATTTGCTTTTAAACCTGCTCAATTAATAGTTATGGTATTTTTGATTACTTTACAAAAAGAAACAAATGATGAAAATAAAGAAATTTTTTTGTATTTTTGTTTTTCTGAAAAAAGAAATAAAAACAAAAAGAAATAAAATATATTTGGATTTTCAATATTTTGAAAAAAAAATAATAAAAAAATTAAAAAAAAGAATAAAACCAATTTTTGATTTTTAATTTTCAGAATAAGAAATAAAAACAGAAATAAATAAGAAGAAATAAAGAAAATGTACTACGGATATATGAAGTTCCTAACCAAGAATGAACATTATACTACTAGTCACCACGAACATTCGCACCAGTTCGCAGCGTAAACAATTGACTACGAGTTACTATGAGCGTTCGCAACAACTCGTAGTGTGAACAGTGGACTACATGTCACTGCAAGCGTTCACACCAATTTGCAGATCTATCAAAACTTTATGACTATAGTGTTGGTTTCGGAAGAGATTCAGACTCTATAATTCTTAAGCCTTGAGGAATACGATTAAAGTTTTGCTCAGTCAAGCCTTTCGTGAAAATGTTGGCTAGCTAATCAACAGATCTAACAAAGTGTATCTCGACATTTCCATCTTCCATGTGATCTTTGATGAAGTGATACCTTAGTGCGATGTGTTTGGTCTTTGAATGTTTCAATGGGTAGTGACAAATGCGAATGGCGCTCTTAGAATCTCAATACAAAGGGATTTGCTTCATATGCCATAATCACGAACCTGAATTTGAATCCAGATTACTTGTGAAGTACAAGAGGCAGTGGCTATGTAATCTGGTTCAACAGTTGATAGGGAGGCACAGGTTTTCTTTTTAGATTGCCAAGTTACAAGTTTGCCATCAAGGAATTGACATCCTCCCAATGTACTCTTTCAATCGAAACCGCAACCTCCTAGATAAGCATCCGAAAATGGTTGCACAAAGAAACCTGACCTTCAAGGGTACCTAAAGATATTTTTGACAACAGTCATGTGGGTTTTGTGGGGATTTGCTTGAAACCTGGCACAATAGCAAACAAAAAACATGATATCTAGACGACTAACAATCGAATACATCAATGAACCTATCATTTGACGATAGAATGTCATATCAACATCGGTCTTGTCCAGAGACAGTGTTAGTTTCGTTCTAAATGTCATTGGAACCTTCACCTTTGAATCTCCCACCATTCCAAACTTAGAGATTGAGATATTTGTAAAAGCCTCCTGATTGATAAAGATACCTTCTTGATTATGTCTTATATTCAAACAAAGGAAAAAGTTAATCGGACCTACGGAGCTCATTGCAAATTTTGTTTCCATCAACTTTCCGAACTCAGCAGTTAAGCTAGGGTTAGTTGATCTGAAGATGATGTAATCAATGTAAATTTGGACGATCATCAAGTGTTCTCCATGTTTCTTGCAAAAGAAGGTTGGGTCGACCGATCCTTGTTTAAATTTAGCTTGTTTTGAAAAGCGATTAAGAGTTTCGTACTAGGCTCTTGGAGCTTGCTTTAGACAATAGATTGCTTTGTCCAGAATGTAACAATGGTTCGGATATTTTTCGTTTATGAACCCTGGTGGTTGTTCCACATAAACTGTTTCTTCTAGTTCCCCATTCAGAAAGGCACACTTTACATCCATTTGATATACCTCACAGTTTGTGTGCGCTACATGTGCCAGAAATATGCAAACAGACTCCAACCGTGCAACTGGTGCAAAGATTTCTTCATAGTCAATACCTTCTTCCTGAAAATATCCCTTAACAATGAGTCACACCTTATTCCTTATCATTTCCCTCTTTATCCAGCCTGTTGTGAAAAACCCTTTTTAGACCAACAACGGATGCATCCTTCAGAGTAGGAATCAGTCTCAAGACATTGTTTTGTTTTAATTCATTGAGCTCCTCCTGCATTGCTTGCACCCAATCAGAGTGACAAAGAGCAATTCTAACATTTTTAGGTTCAATTTTGGAGATAAATGAGTCGAACATGCAATATTCCACTTTAGAGAATTATGCAGTGCACTTCGCCTTTTGTTGAGCTCTCGTAAGAACTCCTGAAGACGAATCTCCTATTACTTGAGTTTTTGGATGATCTCTGGTCCATTTGGTCAATGGAGGGTAATTAGGATCATATGTTGGATCCAATTCAACATTCATTTCTTCAAACTCTAACTACAAATCCGAATCATCATTCACATTTTCATTCTCTCCCTTGAATGATGTATGTTCTTCATTCAGAGTGGAACCCTCACCTTG